TAGTACACAGAAAACGAATGGGTAGGGGAAATACCGATACTTTAGGGTCCCAAGGCGGGCAGATGATACAGAACGATAACGCATGCAGTAGCTACATTTTCTAGAACTGGGGCCCCCGGGTCTGGGGGCCCTCAGCGGCTAGGGACCATAGTGGCTAAGTGTGAGTGCCTATGGATGCAGGGAAAAGGTTCTTGGTTAAGAGCACGACGGCTGTATGGTTTCTCAATGTCTTTGAGGACTGCCCGTACGGGAAGCTACGCTCTGGTCCCTATGCGGCCATGAGGTCTTGTGATTTCCATCTATTACGAATCGCGGTTTGGCTTTGTTTCCTGGCTCCTCTTTGCGAAGGTGGACTACGCGTCTTCAGTCCACTGCTCCTCGCTGCCTCTAAAAGCACAATCGACGCTGCTACCGTCTCACGTTGTCGTGCACTTCGGAGGGCCCGTGCTGCAAAATCCACTGTCTCTCACACTCATCCCAAGGCATTCTTGGCATTTGCTAGTGGTGTGCAGCAGCAACACAGAGGGAGCCGATGGAATACACTACGTGCGCAGCAGCAGCGCGTTACCGCCCACCCGCTTACGGGAGTCAAACAGCCCCGCCATCAGCACCGTCATGACCAGCAGAAACGCACACGCAGTGCCCTGCTTCGGAGAATGCATCGATTAAACAGCAGCTATGGCGGGCCCCCTCACTGTGGCCAATCTGGTCTAGGAGGCATTCGTATGACCGCCATTCCTCCAGGATCTGCCTTGGAGAGCCACATGAAGGAACTGATGCAAGATCCTATACAGAATATGCCAGTGCGTGTTTACGTATTCCTTTTATGAATTTCCCTGATCATTTCTCTTTTCGTGCACCGTCTGGTTCTCTAGCCCCCCATCTACGCCTATGCTTCTTTTCCAGGTCGCTTTGATCTTATTCACCGTTGTAGTGTTGCTGCTTCTTATTTTGCTGCCTCTGGTGGATTCAGTGGGATATTTACGTCCCTTTTTATAAGCAGTACGGTCGTGGCGTCGACAACAACTGGTTACACTTTCTACAGGGCAACTGGACTTTTATTGAGTCGAAAACATTCGCCGAAAGGCCCGTAGGCAAGCCCTCTCCCTCAGATTGCCCTCTAAGTGTATTTGCTGAACGGGGACACATCTATTTTTCCCTTTCGGCCCGACGCTTCTCAATCTGAATGTTTATACAAGTATTTGCCTTCGTGAAAGCATGGAGTTTCCTTTCTGCACCATCGTGTGTACTCATGTACGTGTGTGTACTGCTTCCCATGAACGTGATGTGATTAATCGTGTATTTGCGGATAGCGTTCTGTTATGTAAGTTTAGCTATTTAATGGCCTATTTTGAGAGCACAGACTCGCGGAGACGAAATTGCGGCCGGCATTTTTTGATGAGGCTTCACTCTGCCTTGATCCAGAGCTTTGGAGCTAAGGGACTGCACAATATACTGGCTTCTGACAGGGTTTGTTCTTGCCGCGATGTGTGGGCATGGTGACTGGCCCGTCGCAGGCGTTATCGACGGGGGTCCCGAGGAATACAAAGGTCAAGGCACCAGTCTTCCCTTCCACCCTCTCTCTCTGGATAGACAACACGCAGTCAAGTGGCCCCAGCACCACGCCCACGGCGTAGGTTTCAGGGAGTCAACAGACAAGCCGTACCATATTCGGCTTGATAGGCTTCCAGACGGCAACCAGGATGTGTACTTTGGTAAGATGGGACAGTGTGCGGCTGCAGCTCATGTGATTGGGAGTGCTTCGTCTGATGCTGTAGCATGACGTAGCATTGACTCGGTCCATGTGCCTATCTTACCGGCAGCCAGCAGGAAGAGGATCCTTTCGACTTCTGCCGTCTCAAAGTAATTTCATCGTGCAATATTTTCTCCATGTATCGTGACGCGTCCGATCGATTTCAGCCTCCAGTTTATTCCTATGGCGCTATTCGTGCTGCTGGGCTGTCTGTGCATATATCAATCTGTGTGGTGTGGGGTCGCAGGGGAGTCTGATGAGGAGCTAGACGCCAGGTTGTGGGGCAGTTGGGACAGCCCACAGGCTCTACACGAGTGTTGGCCTGAAACAGGTAAGAAGTAAGATTCCGCCTTGTCGTCCGTGTTTCCCCCCTCTCTCTGTCTGTTGCCTTTCGTAATATGCGGTGTCGAGTTCCATTTGGGGAGCATCCTAGTTAGTACAAAACTCCCGTCATCGCTTAGGTGAATATGCAACGGGCGTCCCGGTGTATAGTTTAGGATCCGATGACTACCCCACCCTTCTTGCCACACGGTTCGTTCATATTCATTTATTACTGTATGTTTTGTCGATATGGCTCAGGATGGCGAGACACTTTGCCTGACGACGATATAACGGGAATGCCTCGGCCTTGGACACACAAGCAGACGGATATTTTTGTAAGCTGCAAAGCGCAATATCCGGCGGAGGCCCTGTCTTCTCTCTTGCCACTGGCCGTCTCCCCGTCTAGTTATCTTTCCTCAACAGCCGGTCGCTCCGGGAATAGGACTGCCTGTTTCTGGTGACCAGTTGGAGCATAAATTATGAATTAGTCTCTGGACTTTTCATCGCATTGCGTGATTGCATGCCTGGAGGTAACTTAGGACTCCGAGTTGCTAAACATGTGGCCTGTCCATTGGCCGTTTCTGCTGCAGGAGATGCCGCCTCAACACCGAGACCCTTCCCCAGGGCCCCCTGAAATTCCTTTAGAAGTTGAACTTGCAGCTGCTGGCGTATGGGCCGGTTATGTACTGGAGCCGGGATGGACTCGACATGCGGGTATGCGGCAGCATCTGTATCCCTCGGCCTCTGGCTCTGCTCTCTGATTTGCTCCCCCCGAACTCTGCTGTGTAGCGAGATGAAAGGAAGTGCATTCACTTCTTTTCGGCGCGCAGGGATGGGTTCTGTGCCTAAGAAACAGATGGCGGGCAAAAGGAAACCGAATGAGTCTCTTTCTACATATCCCAAAGGTCTATTCGTGTGCCTGCTGCTGCGCATCTGATGTTCCTGGGTCGCTTAACAGACGCCATTGCAGAATACCGCAAGGCTGTGGAGTGGGCCACTGTCGAGCCTGTTCCTCCGAAAAAGGCTCAGAGAAAGACGAAGGCTGCCAGCAAGAAGGCGGACAAGGAAAGAACATCAGAGCTTTTGCGGCGCACGCAGGAGATTATAAAGGCCCATTGGTACTCTTTGGTCTTGACTACCTCTTCACTGCCCCTAAATTTGGCCTTTAGTGTATGTTTTGCCGCTCCGTCATGACGTTTGTGCATGTGTGGCTCCTGCTGCGAAAGCATGCACGCACTTCTGTTGCTTGTGGCGGTCCATGGGTGAGCCTGCTTCTGTCTCTCGGGCGCGTATCTCGTACTGCCTCCTGCTCTTTGCTGTCCAGAGTATCACCTTTTAGCTGAACCTGCCTGGCTGCTGCGCATAGGGCCGACATACGAAAGCACCCGGTATACGTTCGTGCCGTAGTTGACGGTGCAACCCACGAGTCTGCCGTTGCAGCAGCTGCCGCGGCAACACCGGAAACAGCAGCCCGTATAGCCATGGGGGCGGACGTAACCGAGGGCCTAGAGATGCAAGAAACGCCAGATCACCTCGTTAAGGGAGAAGTAAACCCTCCAAACGCAGAGGGGAAAACAATGGCGGTAAATCTCGCCTTGTACAGCGTCGCCCCATACAATTGCAGGTGAAGGCCACTTGTAGCACACAGGCACTCTACTCCTCCTTGCCTACCTCCTCGACGCTCGCTCTTGCTTGCAGTTTGATCTAACGCTGCGCCTCATCATGTGCAACAAACTAGAGCATTCTGCGTCTTCGGGACAACGTGCTTGTGAGTTATACTTTTGCGGCCTGCAGCTACTTGTCGCCCAAAGCCACTATTGCGGAACACGAAGAGCTGTATCATTACCTTATGACAGAAAACCATAGAGAGGGCAGGTACACGGACTTTAATTCTGAGATTGCGGCCACTCATGACATTGAGTATCGGCTGAGACCATTGCGAGAAAGATTTCCTCGACTTATGGCGTTGTACCGTCCTCTCTGGACAAAGCGGAAATACGGAGAGGAATTTTCAGGGCCCAGAGACCCGAAGGATGTCAGTTGTGCTTACGCCTTAACTCTGCCGCTGCCTCCCCATTTTCCTTTTCCCCTGCCTTTTTGTTTGCATCGTAGTGCCTTGTCTCTCATTCTTCGTATCCTTGTTCTCTTAAATCGTTTTCCTTCCCACCGCCCGGTGAATGCAGAGGACCAGCAGGCTCGAAGCCAGAATGAACGCACTTTAGTATTGGGTCATGTTGTGAAATGTGTTTGCCGTGCGCAGGAGATAGATGATGCATTATTTACTGTTCCAGGGGAGGCACTTCCTTGGTCGCGGGAGCGCACCACAAATCGAGACGGGTTCTCGAGACTCTCCACCCCAAAAGACAAACCACTTAGCCCCGTTCCCCCGAGAGGTCATTTTCTATCAAAGTCCAAAGAAGCGCTTTTTAGCAAAGCCAGTTTGGCCCATACGGGGCGGAGCGACACTTAGCCTCTCCGTAGTATACGTGGAGAGCTCCGACGCAGGGTTAGCCGGTCTGCGAAAGACTTTGGGATTAGCACCAGCGTGGGCCGATTTCGTTTTCTCTGGCTGAGTTCTTCCTGTATCGTACTTTAGTGTCCTTCAGCCAGTGTTTGTATCTCAGCACAAGGCTTTCAAGCAACGTCTGGAGGGTGGTGCCTTGGTGCTGTAATGGTACCTGTCGCTGTCACAGAAAAGGAGCATATCCTTCGCAGGGGGCTGCTTCGCCACTACATTTTGTTCTTGTAATTAAGGAACAGGAGATTAGCGGCAACACCATTAGGTAACTGCTGTGATACGGCACTAAGGAAGCTTGAAGTCCGTGCCTGAGGTGGCGACGCGTTGGGGGGCGGAGCAGAAAAAATGCGGGCGCAACGGAGTTTCTAAAACTTAAAAATTGCTCTTGAATCAACCTCAGATCTCAGGTTCTTGAGGTTGTCGTTACACGATAGGAAACTTCTGCGTATGTCCTCCCCATGTGGCACTCAATTAGGTGACTGCTGTCTATTCATGTTGCTGGTGTCTCTCTCCCCATCTCTGTGCCTTGTAGGCTGCACATATTTATGGCAGCACCTTTTAGTTCCGGACGTTTTGAGTATTAGAACTTCACTGCTATTTCCCCTCTCCCGAATTCCATGAGAGTCCATCAATGCTGAGTCCCGTTCATGTAGGGCATAGGGGGCAGAATTCCGGAGCTGGTAAGCATCCCACAAATGCGCCCAACTGGCAGACATTCCTCATGAAGCGAGGTAACCTGCGGTCGCTTGTTTTGTGTAGGACAATTTGTTCTACTCAGGTTCGATCAGGGACGTCAGTCGGGGCTCAAAAGAACAGCCTTTAATTTTAGCACCTCCTAAAATATAAGCGACTAGTATACTTGAAGCATCCACAATATGTATTCGTTGTTCGCAGCTATTTCGGAACTTGTTCGCAGCGATGGATGTCCCCTTGATGCATCTCAGGTCACAACTTTTGCAGTCAGGCCCCTGCTTTCTTACAGGCCCAATGCTGAAGCACAGCTTCTAGATTGCTTTCTGGTCCCATAATGCTGCTCCCGTTTTTGATACTAGATTCCTTGCCAAGCTGGGAGGTGAGGCTTCCTACGTAGTGGACAAATTGCACTAGGACTCTCGGATGAGACCAGCTACTGCTTTGGCATATTTGCTATAGTTTGCAATTCTGCTGTGTTTGACCTGGCTGCACTCCTGATATGTCAATCCCTGATATTTGTTGGTGCATGGGGCTGGATATGAGCAATTGAACCGGCTGTTCTCAATGTGCAAATAGTTGCAACTCAGCTGTTCCATGCGTTTTACAGCTCTTGGCTGTGCGTGGAGTTAGGCGAAGAGGGAAGCACCTACCTTTTGATAGCATATAGGTTTTTTCCAAGCCATAATTGGCTTGAAGATGAAACTCTACGCAATGTAAAAATTAATCGTTACAGTGTCTCAAGGAAGTGTCTACATTTTCTGAATACATCGTTAATGAAGTGTCTCCCCAGTGTGGGCCGAATAATTCGCAGGCGTCAGTCCAACCCAAAACTACTGAAAGCCTATGGAAGGTCTCCAGGTGGAAGCACAGTATGGGGGGGCGCCTCAGGTTGTCTTTGCCTCCTGCGCACACTGTACTGCTGGTGAACGCATCATTATTTCTGATGATTTTTTGTATTTGTAGAATTAAGGGAGAAATCCTCATGGGCAATGGTGTAATAGAAGAAGTGGAAAGGAAGGAGCTTTTGTAAGCAGTCAAGCATAGAATTATATCGGTGTAGTGCCTCAGACTTGACTATCATATATGCCGCGAGACTGGCTATATTGGTAACATTTTGTTCTCTATGCGTTGATAGCCGACATGCATGGTTAGCTTCTAATAGTAAGAATTCTAAATGAGCCCCTATGTAGTAAGTTGTTGCGTGTAGACTTTTTGTAGTCTTGCATCTACGTTCTCCGCAGAAAGACGCTTTCTGAATCATTACAAGCTTACTAGAAAGTTAGAGTGTCCTTCCAAATAGCTTTCTCCTTTCCTTGCCCGCGCCCCTCAGCTTTCCCCAAAGCAGAGGGACAAGGGTGCGCATTGCTGCGCTTTCTAGGTTCTCAGACTATTCACGCCTAGTTGCACATAGCACCGAGTGCAGATGCACACAACATTGCATCTTGTTTCGAGTCAACAATACTGTGAAAGAAGATATACAACCGACAAACGAATCAGGTGATTTACTAATACTTCTTAGTTAATTATAGCTAGTGTGGTACAACGTGCCAAAGTGTATTTAGGCGTTTTAAATGCCTGGGATTTTTCGGGGGGGCGCTACTGCTCATCACCCCGGCCGCGCTATCCTCCTGTATGCCTCAGGCCTGTTGATCGAAGAGCGCATGACAGTGGGCCGATTCGGGAGCTGGGTTTGAGGAGGAAAAAGTTTTGTTTGGCATGTATTTGTTTTTTTCCTACGTGGCCAACCGAGGGGAACCTTTATGATCTCGTCGGCTTGTAAAAGCAACAAGTGCACAAGAACCAAGCCATGGGTAAGCATGTGGCCATTTGCGATATCTAGCAGTCTGGCACACCTGTCGAAAATGCATAGAATATGCACTATGGTATTCCCTTTTTATCCCACGTCGGCCCTTTGCAGGGTCAATGCTTGATTCCACAGAGAAAGCCCCCCACCTCAGGGACTACTAGTAACACATGCTAGGCATAAACGAGCTGAAAGACATTTTTTCGAAGGCAATTAGCTACATTGACGCCAAACCCCTGGGAAACACCTCGCTGGGGGCCCCCAGACCTAGGGGCCCCAATTCTAGAAAATGTACCTACTGCATGCGTTATCGTTCTGTATCATCTGCCCGCCTTGGGACCCTAAAGTATCGGTATTTCCCCTACCCATTCGTTTTCTGTGTACTT